AATTTGATTGCCAGAGTTTATTATGGATACATACAGGTCATCGTCATGTAACAAACAATTAAAGACATAGCTGGACATACTCTGTTTACACCACTAAATGCTGTAAAGAAGTCAGAAATGAAGGAAAAGAGGAATTCAAGGGATTGCATGGAACCCTGATTCACGTAGGCGTTTTCCTCCTCTTCTGACATCATGGCTGTGCTATCTTTGTGAACAAAATCCCTTGGATTTTTTCTCTTCCTATTTGCTGTTCCTTTGAGGATGTCTCTCTTAAGTCACAAAAAAGAGTCCCAGACTTGTACAGGTTTTCGTGCACTGCATAATCAACTTAATTGCAATCATAAAAATCTCAGATTTTTGTGCTCAAGAAAAGAGCACAAAGCTGGTACACAGATCATGCTGAGGGCATCGATGGCCAAATACTCAAACCATTGGATTTGTTTAACTGTATTCCTGGTGACTACGTACTGAAAGAGTGTGAACCTGTTAGCAGTGCCACAGCCCTCACCCTGGAACACTTAATGCTCCAAATTAATGCTCTCGAGATTGATATGCCTCACTGCCCAAAATAAATCTACCTATAACAAATCATAACCACAAACTCCCTCTGTTCTGACCACAGTTGTTGCAGCGGTGTACTTGTTTGTGACGCTTGACTCTGTAGGCAAAAGCCTAAGTCATTCTTTACCTCCTCAGGTTCTCCTCAGGTGCCAGGGCACCTGAGCTTGTATCTGGGGAAAAAAAGGCTAAGATTTGGAAGGGAAAACTCTTATCATTGCACCAACACTCAGATACACGCATCTGCTTCCAGACATGCGCACAATATGTGGCCAATCAGTTGTTACAAGGTGACTGATGAAATTTCTGAGCTAGTGACTGTAAGTAGCATGCATTTTTTATGTGCAATAGTAGGATACACAAACTTCAAACAAAAATATAGAGAGGAAAAGGCAAGAGCTTCCTTTCGAATGCTGGAATGCATGTTCAAGGGCTAAACAGTTCCTGCTATAGTGTTTCAGGGGTATTACATTACAGCAAAAGCTGTACAGTATCCAGGTCGGAGGTCCTTTCAGTCCTTTCATTTACCTCCCACCTTCTTATTTATATTTTAGAAGCCTGACCAGTTGTGGTCAAACATCTAAGAACTTTAAGTCCAGAATAAAATTAAATGTGATGGCAGGATAACTATTGGAGCAGCTATTATTAGAACCTGAAGGAGCTTTGGCCTTAGCTGAAGAACTGCAGGCACTGAAGGTTCCTGGTGCCTGCAGCTGTCTGAAGTCCAGTACTATAAAGTAATGTGAAAGCACTCCACGGTCTTTCCCTAATTCCAGCAGCACTGTGTATGTGGACATGCAGAAAGCATTTGGAAGGCAAAAGAAAGCAATCAGGAAGGAAATTATATATGGTGAGTGATGGATTTAGCAAGTCTGCCTGCTTAGTGGCATGACCGTGCAAATCAGGTAGGTGGCTAATGGAAACAAATAGCATGCTCTCAGAGCCCTGGCAGTGTTTTTGTTGTATGTAACAGTGCTGGAGGCATATGTTGGACTTTGTACATAAGAGAGAGATGGATCATGCACTTTCAAATTTATAGTTATTAAGTTATACAGTACAATATATATGCACTTTGCCGAACACCGTATGTTTAGCAAGTTGAACACATCTTCAGTTGCACAGTACCCTGACTTTACAAGGTAAGGGGATTCAGGTGAATTTCTGGTCCAAAGCTTTTGTCTGATTTTACCCATTTTTACTGATCCTTACCTCCTTTTTTATGAGGCAGATCCTTACTGTGACTTACTCATGCAAAACTTTATTGAACCTCATTAAGAATTTTTCCTGGTAAGTAATGAGGGAACAATGGATCCTTAACCTCTTTGGTACATATGCCATTATTAATTTCACATCTAAATTTAGCCTTCTAAATTTGGACCATCACTGTCAGTCGCAACTGACCACAAACATTAGTCCTAACCATACCAGCATTACAGAGCAATTGCCCCTGTGATAAGATTCCTTGTCAAATTTACAGCTCTTGTAAGCATTTTGCTAGAATAAAAGTGAACAAATGAAAAACAAAAGTACAAACAAACCAAAACAATGTAATAGAATGCTAGATTTGTCCCTAGCTTATTGCTCCTTGTGATGCTTAAGTGAAACAGCAACTTGGGATAATGAAGGTTGTGCTGTTGTAACACTGTTTTGTAGAAGCAAGTATTTCATGCTTCTTAAGGCCTTACGTGATGTCAGTTTGCATCTTACTTCACTTGGTTTCTCAGCCTGTTTTGCAAAATGTTGTGTTTCCTAATATCAGCTGCTGCTCAGTATTGCTGAGAAAAAGCAGCAATTTTAAAATGAAGTTTTTTTTAAAAAATTATTTTTTAGATCCACATTCAAGTTCAAACCTAAAATTCCTAATGACTTCCAACTCCCAAAACTGTTTTCAAACTATCAGAAATAGAAAGAACTAGAGGACTGTGACACAGCTTTTCCCTTATCATGCAGCACACCAATCAGGAGTAAACATCTTGTTCCCCTTAGCAAACATGTTTTCATTGCATTGCAACCCTGCTGACCCAAGCAGTTAGCCAATATTGTGTGGTATTTGTAGAGAAATCAAATATTTTTCCATTTCTGCCCCATTATTTTTGTGCAGTGTGCACATAGGCTCATTCCATTGAAAATTACTGAGAGTTAAATAACAGGAGACAATACTCCAAGTTTAGTTTCTGCCAATTCTTGAGCCAAACCCCTCCATGCTCACAGTCCCATGTCCCTTTCTAGCTGTTTGCCAGGTACTTGTTTGTGCTCTGCTGCTTCATTTGGAGACATACAGCTGCAATCAATAATCCTTGTTTGTTTTCTGCAAGCAAACTTCTAACTGCTTGTCCAGGCACTTCAGGCTTGTGTGTGGGATTGGTCAGCAAGCAATGATTTTACACTACTGCAACAGGCATGAAGTGAAGTGATGCTGGCCTGGCTCAGGCTGGACATCAGCTGCCTGCACCACTGCATCTGCTGCATATGCAAGTGACTACTGGAAGCATGTATATGGCATTTCAGTTCCTTCTGAAAAATATCCTGCAATGTGTTTGCCTCTTGCTTAGAAGAGTGGGCCCTCCCTCACCTGAGACAGCAAAAGCATTTCACACAGTTTGCAGGAATATGCTGCCCAACTACGGAAGAGTAACTCAGAAAGTCCTTCCAATAGCTGTTCTTGGTTGTTGTACTCATGAGCAATTCTGATCCCAGGAAACAGATTTTGCTGTCCTTCCCCTTGTCTCTGTGTGATGCAGGTGAGCAATGACAAAGCAGCACACCATTAGTTGTTTGTCAAAATACGTATGGTTTTGTAAGACGTCTTTTTAATGCAAATATAAAGGATTGGTCCTGTTTGTCTGCAGTGATAAAATTTCAAGTAAAACAACATCTTGCAAAGATTGGAAGGGTTTTTTTTTTTTTTTCTATCTACCTGTCCAAATGTTTGTTCTTCCAGGTAATCCTGAAATTAACTCATTTGGATGGAACTTAATTCTGAACAAGTTTCTAATTCCCCTCAATTCAACCTCTGGGAGGCCGTTTCCAAACATTGGCCTTCTCTTTACCAGAACAATTCATGCAGAGTATTTATCAATGTTCTGATGATAAACCTGACCTTCACCTGCTCTGTGGTGTGTACTCTTCTGAGAGCAGCTGGTTGCTTTCACAACCTTTGTTTTTGTGGACACTGTGCGAATTCCCTAGGGAATTTTCCACGTATCTTAAAATATTTGAATACAACATCTAATTTAGGAGCCTAGTCAGAACTTAGGTAGACTGAACTATCATGATGCACTGACCGCAGGGCTTCCAGGTGACTGTGCTTTTAACCAGCATATCTCTGTGAAGTTCCTGAAGTTGGGAAGAATGAGGCAAGGCTTTAATGCTGTTGTTCTCAATCTTCTGACTCGTCTTGAATTCTCTGTGCTGGTTCTTATGGGAATTTATTTTTCTTGATAAAGGGAGGAAGTCTGACTTTTTACACAGCTAGATAGTGATAGGACAAGGGGGAATGGTTTCAAACCAAAAGAGGAGATTTAAATTAACTATTAGGAGGAAATTCTTTACTCTTAGGGTGGTGAAACACTGGTACAGACTGCTCAGAGAAGCTGTGGATGCCCCATCCCTGGAGGCCTTTCAGGCCTGGGTGGATGGGGCCCTAGGCAGCTTGAGCTGGTGGGTGGCAACCTTGCCCATGCTGGGGGTGTTGGAACTAGATGGCCTTTTAGGATTTCTTCCAACCCAAGATTCCGTGATTCTATGATAAAGACACTGTTGGCCAGTATTCCAGATGATGTCTCATCGCTGTCATCAATCGCTTTCCCACTTCTCTGTCAATTGGAAATACACTGTCTGAAATAGCATGTTAACTTTTAACAGGTATCAACTGTGTCCTCTTTCCCTCCTCATGATTTACAGTTCATTAACTCTAGTTTAGACCTGAAGTTCAGTATAATCCTGAAGTTTGTGATGTTTCACTTCAAATTATTAAGTAGATGATTAAAGTTTATTTTATTTGTCAGGCTAGATCTCAAGTTCAGTTCTTGCTGGGCAATGTTTTGAATCTTTAAATACACCCTCTGTAAAGACATTCCCCCAAAACTACACGGTGGTTTTCAAATTCACCATCTTTTTTGCTGTGTCCTGGCCATCAGTGACAGCATTGGTCTGCTTGTTCTCAAGAATAAGAGATTAAGAGATTCCTATCAGAAGCCCTTTCTGTGTGTTGAGTAGTCCTCCAGTTGTTGCCTATACTTTTTTCAGGCCATCCAAACAGTGACTGTTGAAAGGTATAATTTCTTAATAAAGGGAAATGTGACAGCAAAACTGCTATCAGCTATTAGGTAATTGCAGCTCTATTTCCGTTCAGTGAGTGGAAAATTATTCTTGTTTGAAAGAGGATTATTTGATTGCTGCTTATTTGGGAGGTGCTTTCTCGCTGCAGATTGCACTGATGCTGTTTAGGACCTGCCAAAGCCCATGCTTCGCAGTGTCAATAATACTCAAACTTCACATGTCTCTTAAAACCAAAAAGTGAAAATATGAAGAGTGTCTACATGTTGGAGTGGAAAGATTGCTTCAGCTGCTGGCTTACAGAGTTGTGGTTGAGCAAGATAAGGAAAGGAATGACGTTTCCACGGAAGGAAGAGTTGGTTGGTTGGTTGTTTTTTTTTTTTTGTTTTGTTTTTTGTGGTACAAGAGGGCTTGTACATGGCTTTTACTCTACTTAATTCAAAACCAGGGAATATCTGGTTGCATACCTTGTGGTACCTCAAAGTCAAAGTCCTGTTAAATCCCAGATACTTTGGCATCCCTGTATTCCTATTCCTATTGCACACAGGATGACTGCATTCTTCCTTCCCTTCGCTATTCAAAGGATCCACCTTTTCTACTTTCCCACTTTTGCCAGTGTTTTTGCATTGCCATATCTCTGGGTACAATTTATCCTCCAAGGGATTCTGTATCCTTCATTTCATTTTCTCTGTACCATGTCCACCAGGATTCCTTTCTCTCATCCTTCTCCCTTTCTCCATCATGGACTGAATTAAACACTTTGGATTTACACTCAGAAGAGCTGAGATCTTCAGGCTGTTGGAAGATTTTATCAACCTGTATTTTGAGAGGTAGGCATGCCAACTATTGTTGGAAGTGCTGGGCATGTTAAATAGCAGCTCCAACTATCACTCTCTGGTTGATTGTCCTCAAAATCAGGCAGTTCCTTATATTCTGGAAATGACTAAATGTAATATAGTGAAGTTATCACGTTACAGTTAAGCATGAACAAACATGGGTATGAAGTTCTATGTGGGCTGTGTCTTTTCAAGGTCCAAAGGTGAAGGCTCACTCCTGGGTACAAAAGCTGCTTTACCATTTCAGGTACTGATTAATACAATATTTTTGAAAATCAAATTGTTAGTACTAAGTTATCAGCATTTAAACAGTAAGGAACTACACAGCGGGAGAAATGTGCATATCGTACAGGAACTAGAGGGCCCTCTCTGGCAGAACAAGTACATCTGTCAGATGAAAACAGAAAACCAGGTGCAAATGGAGCAGAAAAAGGATGCAACCCTCACAGAAATCTTCCATGCAATATACTGGGCGCAGGGCATATACAAAGCAATAAAGTTTAGGATTTCCAGGTGCTGTCATTGACAGCCAAGATTAATGACTCATTCAAATATGTGTAAGTGATGCACTTTGAAAATAAGAATGTGGGCAGACAGGTATGGGCACGGAAATGCACGCAACAGTTTGTTTAAACAGTGTCTTCCCAACCAGCTTGGTAACAGGCTGTAGTACTGCTCCATGCCTGCAACCTACATCTCTTGTTGCAGTGCCACAGAACCCTGCTTGGCTCCCATCCGTGCCTCCTGAACTTGCAGAGTGCCCAGCACAACAGCCTTAAGAAAGAAAGAGGAAGAAGAAATTATAAGAAAAGAGAAGAAGAGGGGAAAATATGTGGCATCCATTGGTTTCATACTGATTAAGAGTCCTTGCTGGAGATCCCCCAGCCCAGCACTTCCCTTCCTCACATCGGGCCCGGCCCACTGAAAGTGCTGCCTGAGTGACTACCCAAATGGCATCTGCCTGCCTGAGTTGGCTCCCACTGTGGTCCTCACACCATCAACTTGGACAGCTGCAGCAGCAGGAGTGGGAATGTTCCCCCATTCCTAGGATGGTTCAGGTGCCCTGAAAGTGCGTGTTTAATGGGAGCCGTCATGAAGGTTGTTGGAGAGACACGTGGAAATAGCAACCAGCATGGTGCCCTATGAGCTGGCTCATTAAAGACACTAATAACGATGTGCAGCATTCCTCTGCCTTGAGATCACCACCCCAGAGTAATCAGGATGATGCCAGAACTGTGCAACACCTTCCAACGCTGTCATTAAAAGCCAAATCTTCGCCTCAGAAAAGTCAGTGCCAAAACCCCATTCAGTCTTCTGCTGCCTTTTGGCCATCTTCTGCCAGCCCAGACATTGGGCACACACCAGGGGATGGGGACATTAGCCTATGGGTGGATGGGAGCCAGGATTAGGCCTGGTAAGTGGCCTCCTGATGCCCAGCAGCTCTGCTCTTCTGGTTTTCTTGCTATTTCTAGCGCAGAGGCAATATACTCAGGACAGAAAACAGCATGAGTGGAAATGGAAAAGATAAGATTCTGTAAGATATCATACAATAAATACAATGCAGTATTGTATAAGATAAGACTGCTACTGTTAGAAAATCTATTGCTTGGTCAAATGATAAGGAAGGACAAAATAAGTCTTTTTGGGGCTTATAATTCGTTGTGTGTTTTTAAGGATTAAAGTTTTCTGTTTAGGGAGAAGTTGAGGGGAGGATGGTTTCCTTTGTTTCAGATCATACTTCTAACTATAAAGTTCTCTTTTGTCTCTCAATGTTGGTGGGAGCTAATCACTACTGTGGTCTGAATAATACATCTGTCTCAACATCCAGACTTTTCAGAGGGCACCTCATTTTTAGAGGAGGCTCCCAAGTAAAGGTGTGTGCTGAAGGCACCCAGCACCCCACAGGCGCAGGGAGAGAGGTAGAGCTCAGAAAGCCTCAAGGACCTTTCCTTCCAACTGTAGGGCAAAGTCTGTGGAGTGAAAACACAGAGCAGTTTTCTTCTGGAAGTTTATGCCTAGGACCTCTGTGCTTCTCTGTAGTAGCACATGACTGCGTGCCAGAGCACGAAGGTTAAGAAAATGTCCTCAGAGGACAACCAGAGTGTTTTCCTCTTCCTGTATCACAGAATTTGTCTGTTCATAATTATACCCAGGGCAGTTAGAATCTCTTTAACTCTTTTCAGTATATTTATGTGTTATATAAACAGGGCTATAGGGACAAGGCATACCCTACAGGCTAACAATGACCTGCTTTGCACAATGACAAGCTTTGCGTGTAGCATCTCTTCCATTTTTTATTTGAAAGCATCTCCTGAACAGTGGAGTAACATCACAGAATCACAGAATTGTAGGGGTTGGAAGGGACCTCCAGAGATCATCGAGTCCAACCCCCTTGGATCATCCTTGGAGAGCCCGTCAGAAGCACCGCTGTGGCGAGTGTGTGACCTGGGCACAGCCTAGACTGACCTGGACAAAGAGGTGAGCTGGGCTTGGTGCTGCCTGGTGGCTGGAAGGAGTCTCAGCAGAAAAGCTGGGCTGGGGAGGAGTTCCCAGCTCAAACGAGGCCCTTCCCAATGGCTGTTTCCAGGGGAAATTGTTTCTCTGAGAGATTGTGGCACACGTTTTGGTGAGGATGACGAATTGCCGTCACTCCCCTGTGTAACGCTACAGTGCAATGGAAAGTGCAGCAGTAACAGCAGGGTGGCAAAGTCCTAGGCTGCAACAAGCGAGGATTTGCCCAGGTGCAGCAGCTGGGGACACAGAAAGCAAGGAAAAAAGCTGCTGAGCCTTGGAAGGCCTCAGGTAGCAGGGATCTCCAGAGAGGCACCCTTGCCTCCACTGCCAACCCTTCAGTGATGTCTGGGAAGGGTTTGTGTGCACCTGAGCTGCCCTGGGTTGGCCCTGCCTTCCCACCAGGTGCTCAATCACTGCCTCAAGCTGTGACTGACCATTGCCGCACAGCCCTGCAAAACTGCAGCTGCGCCCCAGCCTTTATCTCAGACATGACAAAGGAAGAAGAGCACAGACTTGAGGCAGTGCAACTTGTGCTTTAATGACCCACGGAGCGCTGGCTGTGCCGTATCCAGCAGATTTTTAACAAAACCCCACTGAAGTCATGGTGGAGAGCCGGGTGCTCAGCTGGGGACATGGATTGTCTGGTGACATCACAAGCACGGTGACATCACAAGCACGGTGACATCACAAGCACTGTGCTTGGGGCTGTGGCTGCCACCAGTGAGTGCCACAGCCGTGAGCGCTGCGCAGGAGTGTGGACACGCCGCGTAAGCTCTCGTCCCGGCTGGCAGTGAGAGTGGTGTTGGCTGACGGGTGCTGCCCGCTCTTGCTGACGGTGTTGCTCAGCCATTGGGCTGGTGTGTGAACTGGAAGGGAGAAGGACTGCAGCTGTTCCTGGTAAGCCAGAACTGTAGGTTCGTCAAACGTGTGAGTCGTACCAGTGCATCCATTGCAGCTGCAGCAAGAGGAGAAGATGAAGGGAGTCATTTTCATGTCAGGAACGCAAAATGTGTGCTGCTAGGTGTATAACTGGTGACAGTGCTTGCTGGGAGAAGTCGTGGCAGTAGTTAGACACAAGTTGGATCTAGACTTGGCACAGTTCTTGCAACCAGCTGCTTCTGAGACACTGCCCTCCTCCAGAGTTCATACGGCATAAAAGAAGAAAGCTGGAAAACGCTTATTCCTCATGATTCTTCCCTTGTTGATGCCTTCTCTAGGGTTCCTGTCCGAGAGGACATTTTGTGGATCCAAGCAGCTCCGGACTGCAGCCGGCTCTTTCCAAGAGCGGGGAATTCCTTTGGAGACAGCCCAACCTTGCTCTAAGAAGTTCCCCATGGCTCTGCAAGGAGACGACTGCTACTTCTATTTCAACTCCGTCTGTCTTAAGGTATGGTTGGGTGTCTTTTGCCTGGATTTTCTTCCTTTCCTCGCTTTGAAGAGGAAGGGGTGGAGCGGGGGGAGACCTGCTGGCAATGCGTTGCCTTCATCAGCGGAGGGATTGTGCGCTCCCTGCTAACAACCTGGGCCAGCAGCACGGACGTGTTTCAGGCTGTGCTCTTATTTTGCTGTGTGGTTTCCTTTTGCTCGCAGGGAGACAGCTGTCCCTTCCGCCACTGTGAAGCGGCTCTGGGGAGCGAACGAGTCTGCCGACTGTGGATACAGGGCTGCTGTTTCCGGAATGACTGCAAGTTCAGACACATGAAAATTGAAGTGAGTGTTTGCCTAAAGATGAGCTCTCCACCTCCCTCAGGCACAACCTGGAGTGCTGCATCTCTCTGCAAACGTCTCCTGCCTGTTTCCATGACCCTTCCTTTCTTTCTCTCTTCAGAAGAAGCGCAGTGAGGTTCGCTGCTACTGGGAGAATCAGCCGGGAGGCTGTCAGAAACCCCACTGCCGTTTTCTTCATTTGAAGGAACGCGGTGGGAACGGACCGACCGTACCACCAAGCAACGGTGAGTTCTTGATGGCATGAAGCATGAAAGACTAAATTATGAATATTACTTCTGAGCGGGTGCAGGATGTCAGGAAACCATTCATTGGGGAGAGCAGGGAAGAGTGGTGCTAAGTGAAATATTGGTTTGTGTTTTGGCTGTCAGAATAGGGGCGGTTTTTTTCTGCAGGGAGTTAAATGCATTGTAGGTCTGTGCTGACTGCAGAAATGACACAACATTTGAGCAGGGGAAAGGCAAACACAAGAAACTATGCTTGAAAATTGGAAGCTTGTGGCTGACTGTGCTGAAACCTTCTTCCAAAGAGATGCTCTTCAATTATTTCTTGTCTTCTTTCTGCCAGAAGCTGACACAAGTGGCCTTCCTCTGACCAGCGGCCTCGCAGAAAGTCTGGAGAACCAGACAGAGGTTGAGAAGGCACCAGAGAGAGGTACCAGATACTGAACAGGCATCTGGGTTTGATGCGCTGCCTTTCTACTCACGTGTTCTGATTGTTCTCTCCTGGACTGTTCTCTGCAGGTGACATCCCAACTTCCTCTCATGGACCAGCTGCGCAAAAACGCAAGCAATCTGAGGAGGAGGAGGACATAGTAGAGGAGCTGCCGTGCAAGAAAAGAGTCAAGGGTGAGCACCAGGAGCTTGCTACAGTGCCTCAGCACAGTAATGCTGTCAGTCAGCGTTGTTCTGCGTCAGAGTTTTCCTTGCCCTGGACTATTGCTGAGTGCAGCTCTTGGGTTTCTTTGTTCCTTTCGATGCGCTGTCAGTAGACGGAGAGAACTGTGTGCAAAACATTGCTGAAATCCTGGACATGGCAGTGTAATTCCGCTGGCCAAATGTATTTTACTTCCTGGAAGGGTTGTGGGAATGATAGGAGAACGTGGATTTCTCTTGAGGCACAGCAAGACCTTATCAGCAACGTCTTCCTTTTACTTCAGCTGGACGCAAGGTGCGCAGGAGGCCTATTGACTGGAAAACCACCTTCCCCACAATGCGGAGACTGAAACGGAAAGCAGCAGAGATGCAACCGTCTGCTGCTGAGGACACTGATGAGCCCCCAGCCAGAAAACTACCTATGGTAAGAACAGCAGCAACAACGGCAGTGCATGCGGAAGGTTTACACGGCTCTCGTAGTAATGGTAGAAGTTTCAAATGTTGCACAGGTCTTCTGTTTCCTCTGAAGGCAGCAGATGTCTCCCAGGGCACTTGTGGAAATTCTCTGTTGCGATTAGATGTACATAGATTTTGTCCATGAACGCTGCGCTGCTAAAAACTCCCAAGGCCACTTGTAACCTTCAAGGGAACGCTTTCTTCAGGAGCAATGTGCTTCTGTATTTGGGATCAGGCTCAGCAGTGCCCCAGGAAGGGAGGAGCAGTCCTCAAAGATCATCCGGTGTTCCTCCTGTCCTACTGTGGCCAGGGGTGCCACCACAAGACTCAAATGCCTGGAAACCCATCCAGCCATGCCCAGAATGCCTCTGGGAATGGGGCATCCACAGCTTCTCTGAGAAGAAGAGCTACTTAGACAATCTTTGAGCCCTGCTTCACACACACTGTCTTGTTTCTTCCTAGGCGATCCTTGCTTCAGTCCCGCCCGAGTACACCCTGGTCAGCGTTGAAGTCCTAAAACTTCCAAGCAGGTGATGACCACTACTTGTTCTTCACCAGTGCCCTTTATCCGTTGCACATAAGTTCTTTCACATCAGGGGGCAAGTGGAGTGTTTGAGATGTGCCATGGCATAATCCAACAAAGGAAGAAGTCATCTGCACTAATTTCAATTGCTCACTCAAAGTCTCTGCTGAGTATGTCATGGGGAGAAGTAACTCAGTCTGTAACAGGTGGACGTAACAGAGGATGACTTCTTCCCGTATTTACAGTCAAATAATGAGGCTGGTAATGTGTTTCTGCTACAAAACCTGGCCCCTGTTGGCTGGACTCAAACTGCTCTATCTGTACACATCAATTCCCACTGTGAGAAATGTGCCTGCTGGTGTCTTGCACTCTAAAGGCAGCCTCAGGTTAACTGAATTGCCATCCCTATGTGAGCATGAGGTGCGGGAGGGGTTAACCACAGATCTCAGAGCTGGTGTGCTGAAAGCTATCTCCAGTTAGAAATGTCAGGTGCTGATTGTTCTCTTCCTTGTTCTCCCCAGTCTGGAACTGCTTTCGGGAGGCCAGGCAGACTCTGTGGCACAGTCAGAGATCCCACACTCAACATCCCGTGCCACGCAAGAAGCAGACCAGGCGCAACAGCTGAGCTGCACAGAGGTGGGGAAAGAACTCTTCTCTGAGGATGAGGATCTCGAGAAGTTCCTGATGGAAGTCACAGAAGAAGAACTGGAAGCAGAAATTGATGATGACGCTGTGGATATAGATGAGCTCCTAATGGAGCTCTGAGACCAACAACATTTCAACATCATAGTCTGATTGAATATTTTAAGACAACAACAACAACCATCAATTAAAACCAACCCTATTCCTTTTCAACCCTGTTCCTTTTCTTTCTTATTCTGAGGGGATGCTTTTCCTGAAACTCTGCAATGAGTCTTAAAGCAGAGTCAAACTGGTAAAAATCAGCAGTGCCTGCATTCTGTTCTGATTTCCCTGCTGGTCAGAGTTCAGGGGCCGTGCACCCACTCCCCAGCTCTGGGCGGCTGCCTTCAGCATCGAGAGCACAAAGCATTTGTGTGGGCACAGAACGACGTCCATCCACAAGGCCAAACCTGAAACTTCTTCCTTCCTCCCCCCTTAGCAAAACTGCATTGGGTTCAAGTGGAGGCTCTGGGGTTCTGCTTCCTTGGACAGTGCCTGTGTCAACTGCAGCGCCCACCTCCCTCTCGCATCTCCCACTTCCTCACCCCTCAGGTCTCACGCTGCATGCTGACATGCATGAGGTTGCTGATAAGGTCTTGCTGTGCATGTCTAACATGCTGAAGGTGTAATTCTGGCTGCCTTTTGATGCAGTTGAGTAGCTAGAACTGAGGAAGGAAAGCAGATTTGCATGTTAGACTATTACAGACCCAAATGGGATGAGTAGTCGCTGTAGTTTGCAACAACATTTTTGACACGATTTGTAATAGCACGTAATGGCAATTGAGGTGCTGAAGAGAAGGCACGTCTCCTACAGTTTAACCACAGGAACAATTAAAGGTGCAAAAGTCCATTTTCCTCATGTGCTGTCAGGCAGAATACATTAACCTATGAACAAACCCAGAGGTTGCAATCTTTTGTTCTGAGAATTAGCTAACCTCATAATTACAGGTTTTTGTATAACCAAAGGAAACTCCTTTTGATCTGTTCTTTTACACCGAGTTGGTTTACATCAAAATAATCATAGGCATGGTTTGCCCAAGGAATGTCTCCGAGCAGCATGACTGAGATTTTCTTCCAATAAAACTTACTACACCTTGAGAGTTTGCAGTGAGCTTTCAGGAGGGCTTTCAGAAAGAGAAATTACCCGGAGCTATCTACCATGATAGAAATGGAGTCTAAGTACAAAAGCTGCCTATGCTTCCCAGAAATATTAGCCTTTCTAAGTCAGGACAGCGTCATAAAACCTCATGACATCATTTGCCTCCATTTAGTCACAACTCATTTCTCACTAATATAAGGAGTGCAATCCAGGGTAGATTTACTTCCATGAACGTAATTTACTTTGTTATCTCATGAAAAAAAAGCAATTAGCCCAGATGTCAGGTGTTACTGACTTCTCTACCAGGTAAGTTGATGACGGCAGCAGATGTTTCTTCAGGATGGGAACTCCTGTTCTCTCACTAAGAAGACAGGTTGACTTACATCCCCAAATCCAGCAACAATTGTGGCACAGGGCTGTGTAATTTTCCAGCATTCAAATTTCCTTTCAGGAGAGCACGTAAGCAGCAATCTTTGCCTCTTCACCTCTCACAGGGGCACGTGCCAAGGGTTTGCTGTGGAAGTATCAGAGCATCTGTGCCAGCTGGGCTGCCTTGGTGCTCAGCATCACGACTTACCTCGATGGCAGCTTCTCCACTCCTTCCGCTTGGTGTCACACAAGCACAAAGCAGTACCCTTGTTTTGCACATGGCCTTTATTCAGGGTGCTTATTCTGGGAGAAAAAGCTTGTAACTGAAGGCACTTAAAGACACTTCTGCATTTATCAAACATAGCATGATAAATCCTGGGCTGTTATGCAAGCCTTCGTGTCAGTAAGTTTAACAGCTGTGGTGTCCTAAAGACTGCTCCACGTTTAGAAGGGTAAACAATGTTCTGTTTCCTTGGTGGTTGCTGAGAAAGCTCCTAACAGGTCTAATAATGCTTTTGTCCTGTGGGAAATATGTATGTTAATTTAGTCATGTAAACACTCCTTCCTCCTAAGGAAATGCTCTGCTTGGCCCTGCATGTCCCTTCACGTGTTTTATAGAAACATTTATATAAACAGTTGACTCCCATGCCTCTTCTCACCTCGTCATTAACATCGGTCAAAATATAACAGCCTCCAAACACTTTTCTATATTTATGACTTCTGTACAGAATCTTCTCAGTCCTCTTCCCCTCTAGAGTTAAATGCCTCTGTTGCATCAGATGAATTCAGGCTGCTTTAGACTTGTCAGTCATGGTAGCCAGGGAGAATCGTCCCTGTAAAGAGCTTTATGGGCATCTCTTGCCCTGATCTTCGCAACTTAGGCATTAAAAAAACAACCTTCAAAACTTAGGACCGGAGCACATTGTTCCTTCTACATTTTGTATCTACATTTTGGCTACAGTTGTGAAGGCAGCTGCTTTTAAAACAATTTTCCTGTTTTTAAAAACAATTTTTAAACACTGACTGATATCACTGCATCCCTGATTGCTGCTCAGCACGAGCCATAATTATGAATGGAGGGCACAAAAGGAGCTTGCACTGCTGCCATCTCCTGGCCCAGCTAATGAAATCCTGAGAGCAGTAACAAAGGCACATCTACAATGAAGAGAAATTAAACTAAAATATTACATCAATCTTCCTGGAGGCAGCAGTTATATGCAGGGAAAGCATGTTGAAGGCAGGGCACACCAGAAGGACCATTGCCTACTGGAAATTGCAGTGACCTCTGCAACTGTCTTGCTCATTGTTTTCCCACCAATGTAACACTGATGATGACAATAAGACTCATAAGAAAAGATGCATCTCTCTGTGTTTTGGAAGGCATTTGATATAGTGGATCTGCAGCCAATTTTGTGGTTTTGTTGAAATGATTTCCCCACTGTTTGTACAATGCTTTCAAAGCATGGAAAAAGAGAGAGGAAAATGTTATTTGGTTTTGGGCAGTTAAATGGAAAGCAATGGAAATGACCTAGGGAAGTTCAAGGAGAGGTGGAGGGTCAGATATTGTATCTATATAAGACAGATATTGATTATGTAAGTACAAAATATGTTTAGTTTCTGCCCTTATTTTGTGAAGTACAGTATTTTGTTTTTACTCCATTCACACATGCTGAATTTCAGACTCTGTAGTTTTTCCATTGCGCCAGCTCACTCACAACACCTTTGCACGTATCAAAATTATTTCTAACGATTAAGAATCCAAAAAGAGCACAACAGTCCCTGATATCACACCTCTGCACTTCCACTGCAGTCTTCACCACTCCTCAGCAATGCATTCTGCTGCCGTTCCCCAGGACGACGGAGCAGGATTGAGCTCTTTGCTCCCTTCCGCAGCCGCCGCTGCATTCATCACCCAGCCAGCTGGCTGCATCAGTTCCCTTCGGATTCTCTTTCCCTGACTAAGCAGTGCTGCCATAAAACTACATTGTATCTGTGCGCTCTGCCCTTCCTCCACAGATGTTACAACTTCAATGGGCATACACAGTCCCTCAGCAAAGCTAAAATAATGCTGTGCCAAGTTCCTCTTGGCCAAGATACTTCCTGATGCTGATTTTTTTAGAGCAGGTGCCAGCAGCGTACCTTTCCCACCCCAAGGACAGTGCGTCTTTGCTTCATGCCTCCTGGCAGCCCGCCCTCATGGCATCCAAGTTCCTTGGCTTCAGCATGGTTTCCATATGATCAGGTTACATTATTTTGGGATAAGAAATGACTTTGGAGCAGGCAGCACTCTCTGGAGCGCAGTCATTTACACTCAACAAATATTTTGCATACACAAATGTATGCAAAAAACAGAAACATAAAACCTACTCTTAGGAAGAGCTATTTTTCTCATGTGGTGTGGTACGGCAATAGTGCTGAATGAGGCTTTCTGCACAAGCCTCTATCCCATGCAGTGAGGTAAGTAAATGTCGTCTGTCATTGCCTATTGTTTAATCTCACTAGCAGTGACTTTAGGGAGACACTGCCACCCCAATGGGATGACTTGTAAGAACTGCAATCAGAGTTTGACTTCACTTGGTAGTTGTTATCACTGCTGTACAGTGTACACTAACCAAAGTTCCACTTCTCTGCTGCTTTTATGGCTCCCTGAGTTCACGTCACCTTAGTGGAATGCTTTATAAAGGTGTGTAAGAGAGAAGGGATTAGCACTGGTTAGAGACCCTTGCAGTGTGCAGCAGGGCACACCTCTCACTGCTTTCCTACACAGCAGGAGAACAAAGGAGTGCAGAGGACAATATAAAACATTTGCCATGTGTTTATCTTGTCAATGCTGCTCTGTGTGGCTGGCATGCCTGTAAGAAAAGTCCCCTTATCTTTGGCAGGAGCAAATGCCTGCGAGCATTTGTGAGTGAACTGCAGTGTGAGTGAAATCCTTCAGCTGGCTGTGGCCGCCACATAGCAGCAGTGAGCTGGAGGCACATCCCCACAGGTACAGCTCAGAGCAATTGCCAAAATGCTCCTGCTGCTTTTATACCTCTTGGCAGTTTTGTCACGGATCCCAGGAGAGAGATGGGAGCTTGGAGAGTGGCAGGTTGGCCTTTCCTTGAGGGCATTTCTTACCATGGGGACAAATGCTGACTTGCTGCTGACTCTGCCCCATCTCCACATTACTCTGAGACCTCAGTGGCCGCACTTTTCAGCCCTGTGGCTTTTATGTGCGTGCAGATTCATCCTGTGCACACGAGCAGTTGATTTTTGAGCAGAGCCTGGTTCCCCATGGGTCACTGCACACATCCTGCCCCCACAATAGCCACCATCCCCTCCTCTCCACCTCAGTACCCACTGGAAAGCAGCACCGGACGGCTCTCCCCCTTTTCCCTCATTCCCTCCTCCCATTCCTTCAGCTGCATGTCATGCCATCAGAAATTCCTCGCTGCAGTGCTCCATTTTCCTCTGTCATTTGGCAGCTCGGGAGCAGCATATGCTGCAGTTGGCCCAGAGCAGCCGTGTGCCAATCGGAGTGCCAGCACCCAGTGCTGTGCTAGGTTGAGCACGGCCTCTCGCAGCGGAGTGGGCCAGACTGCCTTCCTCTCTCCTCAGGACATGCTGCCCTGCCCTGTCACTGCATTCTACGACTCCTCCAGGAGCCAAGTAGCTTTGAAACTCCTTGTTCTCAGGCATACTTGGTAAAAATAGCCCAGAAGCT